TTTTTTTTTCCCTTTTTTTTTTCCTTTTTTGTTTAGATAAAAAAGAGTAATTAGTGCGTAACGTCCCTACCTTTTAATATTATTGTACAAAACATCCTTACCTTTTATTTTTTGACATTTTCATCATTAACTACACATTTGATTGTACAATCAATCCTTTTTTCCATTTTCTGTCAACTTTTCCATTAGTCAATCCAAAAAAATCAATTTGACCACATTTTGATTAATCTTAAAAAGAAAAATTATAATTTTATATTTTCCCAATAAAATTATCAAAAAATTAAATAAAACAAAAAAAATAGAGAATTATCCATCTTTGGGTTAAATCCACCATGATCACCAAATTTTATAGTCACCATAGACATCCAATTTGATTTGATTTTATCATTGTTACCCAATTTCATATAATATTACGCTATGACCACCTAATTTCATATAATATTTCACTATAGTCACTCAATTTCTTTTCATCATTTTCATTAATTTTAGAAGAGGTAAAATAGTAACTTTGTATTATATATATAAAATACTTTTACAAAATATATTTTTTGAATTTTTTTTGAAAACATTTACTTAAAATGAGTTTTATTTTAAAAACGTTTTTTGAAATACGTTTTTATTTTATTTTATTTTTTTAAAGAACTTTTTTAAAAATAAATTTTTATTTTATTTTATTTTTCTAAGTAACCCTTTTAAATAATTTTTATTTTATTTTAAAAATGCTTTTTAAATAAGTTTTTATTTTATTTAATTTTTCGAAGTAATTTTATTTAATTTATTTTTCTAAGTAACATTTAAAAAAAAAAAAAGTATTTATTTTAATTTTTCTAAAAAATTATTTTATATATATAATGCAAAGTTGCCATTTTACTCATTTTAAAATTAATGAAAATAGAGAAAATAAGTTGAATGATCATGGTGAAATGTTATATGAAATTGGATGAACATAATGAAATGTTATATGAAACTGGATAGCTATAGTGAATAAAATCAAATTGGGTAGACATGGTAACACTAAGTATAAAGTTGAATAATCATAATGAAACAAAATTAAATTGAATGACGATGATAATACCAAGTATAAAGTTGAGTGGCAATTGGTGGATTTAACCCTCCATCTTTCCACCCCACCCACACCTTCCCTTTATATCATTCCAATTCATTTGCAATTTTGCATACAAATCCATTTTAATAGAAAACATATACGGATAGACAAAGAGAAAACGGTAGAGAGAAGAAAAAGGAAAAGAAAGGAGAACAGGAAGAAGAAAAATAAATTATCTTTTGCCTTGAGTTAATTTTGTAACTGGGCTGCAATTCAAGGTAAGAAGAGAATTTGATTTCTTGTTCTATATAGCTTGTGTCACATGGTAATGAGTATGAATTAGTAATTGGATTCTTGCCTTCATTTATATAGATTGGATCAAAGATTATTCCGGCTCGAGATTTTGAGGAGGCTCTTGAATGAATAATATGTGACGCTACCAAAAATCGTATATGTTGATTT